TACATTTGTTCTGATCGATTTCCTTTTTAAGATTTCTTTCTAACATGAGCTCTATTGGTTGCGCAGACCCTGACATTTGAGCACGCAAGGCAAATAAAATTGGATTTGTTTGGGCATGCATCCCCACTTCTCCTTCATCATGGCGTTTAAAAGTAAATGCAGCATCATTCCAGCGTGAAACCGGTTTAGAAAACAAATTTGTAATCTTAGAAGCTTTACCAGGGAAGCGATGACCAAAAGCACGCATGACAAACAAAATGCACCATCTTTTGATGGGGAGTAGCATAGCCAGTCATATTTTTTTAGCCAGTCATATCTAAAGCTCCTACCACCGGTCTTAGGAAAGGAAAAATTCTCATCAGGCCTGAAAACATTTTTAATCAATTGAAGAACACCAGAAGTATCTAAGCCTTTAACTTTATCCTGGTAAGTTGCAACATCAAAATTATGCACAGAATGATACTTCTTTTCTGGACAAGATTGACTAGCGGAGGACTTAATTGGTTGTTTCAACGTGATATAAGAAGGAACTTGTTTGGCAGAAGAAAGTTTCATTGGGCTTTTTTTCAAATAACTTGGATGGCTGTTTTTCTGATGCAGTAAAAAAGTTAGAAATAATTCGAATATTACCAGAAGGAAATTTTGCCACCTTCTTGGAAAATAAGGAAGGCACCTTACTTTTTTTTCTGACGTTGTGGCTTGTGTAATGTCAGCAGACTTTCGCTTGTGTGCTCTTGCATGAAAAAGAAGAGGGACAAAATGGTTAGGCTGAAATATTCTCCAGTTCTTATGTCACCTTCATGGCAGAATAGAATATGAATTTCTTTTTCAACCCTAGTAGTATGCAAGCGGGGTTGAATAACACGATTAAATAAAAGTTTGAGCCTGTGTTGTCCACAATCCGGATAATATGTAACAATACATCTTTTCAAAACTGAAGACAGACCCAAAATACAAAGAAATGATGACCATTTACCATCATTGCAATTAAAAACAGCCTCTTTCTTCACTAAATTTTCCTTACTAGCACCGGTATCTAAGGACTCAACAGAGACAGATAAAGGTAAAAGATTTTTTATACTTCCCTTAAAAAAATCAGGATGCTCTTCAATGGCAGACAAAAAGCAGGGATGCTCACAGTAAAATGAGCATTCAGGAAAAGCTCAAGTGAGGTTAAGATTCTTAAAGTTGGAACCAATCTATCATCACCAAGCAGAGACAAAGACGCGGAACTGTACAAGCAATTCCTGAAGCTTCTGATCTAAGAAAATACATGAAGCTGATGATGAAAGAATTTTGGGTTTGGTTCCAAAATGTTCTATATATGACATTATTTGATAAATGTATTATATAATCATGTTATAATCTTATTTAGTTTTATTGAGTAATAAAATAGCTAACTGACAATAAAATCTCGCGTAAATATGATATTTACTTTATGTTTTTATATTGACAAAATCTACATTCTCTATATGAAATGTGTAATAGTGCTGACAACTATAAGCAGGAATGAATATAAGTAATTCAAATAGGATAGTTAATAGTAGAATTATAAAGAATCAAGGAATAATCAACAAGCAGGTTGAACTGAAAATTTGACAAGTTTATCTCACTGTACATTCATAAAGTTTTAAAATGCGAGTCTAAAACCACAAAATCAGCAAGTTGAAAGGTTGATGAGATTTACACAACACAAGTGACCTGTAATATACAACCAGACGTTTTGCTGGCAACTTATAGCAAGCAGACTTTGTATAGTGCTTTCGTTTTGGAAACACAGCACAATTAAGCAAAATTTTAACTTCCCTTGAGATTTATCTGCCTGCCAGCAAACCTTGCGAACGTAAACAAGGCAAGTCATCAATACCGTTTGTATGCATTTTACATTCTTACATATTGTTAGTGAAATATGAGAAAATTGTACAAAATATATAGTTTACCTCAAAGCTATGCACGATTTTTCCTTTTGATTTCGAACAGCCAAAGGAATATAAGTTTCCGCGCAATAATTTCTGCTAATGCTGTTTGACGAGCTACTTATGGCACCCAATAGTTGCTCAAGCGATATCTCATCTTGCTCATTTAGTTGCCTGGCAAGATCAACATAAAAACCTGCCAAAATTTTACAATCATCTGCCGCAAAGGCAGCTTGAACAACACCGTAATCCATATCAGATACAACTGAAACTTTTTTAAACAAAGCGTGATTGCAATTTTGCAATGTAGCGAAAGATAAGACCTTCAAAATAAATGACCCCCCGCTGTGAATCAGTCAAAGTATCAAATAGCGTAAAATAACAAAGTAAAAATACTAGTCGATAATATAAAATATGATTGTTAGAGCCCTTGAAAGTCGTCAATCCATCAGGTCTCCCCACAGATACATCAAAACTGCAAGTTTCCATGGCAATAGGCGAATTGACCAATGAGAAGACTAAGATTTGACTTTTTGATGGATCTGTGGGCTTGAGATCATATTTGAGGCTAATTACATAGCTTTCCTTAAAAAAACGGCTGTACACTCAGGCCATTAATTAATTCTGATCGTTATGCTTTCGTTTGGCTTACGATCATTGAGTTCTATAAGACCTGGAGGGGAAACGTCAGCAAAATTACTATAAATTATCAGCGCGCGGCCGCGTGGTCAAAAACATGGCGGATTTTGGTGGTCAAAGTCAGCGGAGAGACGCGGGCTCATGAAATAAAATTTTTGTCGCCCACCCTGATTTGACCACCACAATTGCGAGTATAGAAAATATCAAAACTATTTATTTTCCTAACATAAACACTTTTTTAAAATTTTATTTATTAAACTGCTAACTTCTGTGGTTTGCGGATGCTGAAATAGCGACAGAAAAGGGAACATTTCTTGACTCCGGTAAGTATTAGCACAGTATTAGTTTCACTATTTTGTTCTTAACACGATACTTGAAGAGTGTTCTACTACTAAGTTTTAATTTAAAGTTATTTTGGTCCAGTCTTGTTTGTTCTTCACTTAATCGCCCGCCAGACGTGGCGAAGCTGTCAATTTTTATCGAGTTTTGCATTCATCTTGTATCATGATCAAGGCATCAAGCTAAACTCTCCTGATTTGAATTGAGTTTACCTCCCAAAAATGGGGCATAATTTGTTCATGTTTTTTTTGAAAAGATGAAGGGAAAGTTTACAACAGAGTTGTGTTGAAATTGAATGCAGTGCCATTCAAAATTAATGAGAACTATGGTATATGTTGTATAATAAAAATAACTATTAAACTGTTTGCCTGCTCAATTTGACTGACTGTATAGTGTAGACAATTATAATGGGTTTGGAAAGTTGGATTTATGCAAACAGTTTTAAAGTACTACTTAGCGTTTCTGTAAATGAAGTATTTATTGTTATAGTAAACTGGTTGCTACTTCAAAACCAAGATAAAAGTAGTGTGTTGAGCAATGTGCTAAGATTTGTTGCATATTATGATTATATCATTAATATGCATGAAAAATTAAACATATTATTGTCTCATCTCATCAAATCCATACTTGTTGTGATTCCAGGTGATCCGCAAATTCACATTGGATGCATTGGTTACAATGAAGTTGGATGTAGAAGAAGCAAAAATAGATGGCAAAGAAATTCTTTGTGTCTTATGAAGAATTAGTAGAAATTTATAAAAAGAATTCTTTAAACAAATTGTAAACAAATTTAAATTTGCTCATGGTCAAGCAACCTAGTCAAAGAAGCAAAGTCTGTCTTCAACATGTGACCTTTCCAATTATTTAGTTTCTTTGTACAAAATACTATTTTCAAGAAACTTGATTTGTAAGTCTTTCATTAATATTTTTTTACCAAAAGATAAAAGGAACTAATTCAAAGGCTTGATGTAAAATACAAAGATTTAACAAGTTGTTTATCATTTAATTCCCAAATGTTAGTTTGTACATATAAATAATTAGTATTGGTAGCTGTAAGTTGTTTAAGCAAAACAGAAGAGTAGTAGTGCTCGAAGGGGTTAGCATTTTTGAAAAATTATATCTTGTTCATGACATATATTACTCAATTCCAAAAAACTGTAAGTAATGCACAATAATATCTATAGAACTTGATAAATTTCTTCACCTACACTGTTAAATAACTATTTTGCCTTCATGCAGCAATAGACAGAGTGTTTTTGTCAGAGAAACCAATGCACTTTAGTTTCCAAGATTGTAATTTCAATGGAAAATTAATGTAGTTCTGTTCAGTAATAGATCCAAGATTCTGCCAAGCTGTTTACAAAATACAAATTACCAAGCAACAGTGTCATGGTATTTTGAATTTTTTTCTTTTTTGTAGCTCTTCTGGTTCAACATACTTTCTTTATGAGTTTTCAGTAGATTTATCAGGTAATGACAATACACCTATGATACTTATCCATGGTAAACTTTCTGTTGACTTATGTCGTAGGACTGAAGCAAACATTTTCTCGCTTCCTTAGGAGCATTTTTACACAGATTTATCCATTTGAAGCAAGAAAAATAGGTGTACCAAACTGTTTACAAACAGTCAAACACACAAAAGCATGAAATAATGTATAAGTTTTACGAGATTGACAGGTCTAGTAAAGAATGCCGTTTGATTTTCACTTTTAAAAGGCTAAAATGTCATAAAATAACTTAAATGTTACATCCAAAATATGCGTTTCTCTACCGTTGATCTTCTTTATTTTGATGTGTGTCTGTACTATGTTTTCACGCAATGCTGAAGCATTATTTTCACATGATATGCTGTCGGTATCGTAATTGTTTTTTTTCTCACTTGTTTTCGTTCATACAAACAGTATTAGAAATCAGGAGGGAGTGAATATTGAAAAAAATTTTTAAAGTGGAAGTTTTGACCACCAAAATCCGCCATTACCGCCATGTTTTTGACCACGAGGCCCAGGCCCCTTTGCCCCTCCAGGTCTTATAGAGCTCAATGCTTACGATATGTGATAGTTGACTTAATTTTTATTAATTTTAGTATGTTGCATGAATAATTAATCACCATTTCATACGTTCGTCGCGTGATGGATTTGATGACCCTTAAATCCGCCCCTGAGTTGAAATGTCAGTGTATTTTGTGTAGAGTGGTTGAACTGTTACCGTAGTGAATCATAATGTTTCATTTAAATTGTGTACATGGAAACAGATCGGGGCAGTGCTCCATCGAAATTTGAGCGAACTCGAAGAATCTGTATGTCCAATGCTACCAGAGGCGATCCGTGCAGCGTGGATGACATACACTGGACTAATCTTTCTCTAATCGTTGTACATGGAAACTGCTAATATAATCGTTGTACATGGAAACTGCTAATATAAGGTAAAATATTTGCGATAAAAGCATTGAATGATTGTGGACAGTTGAAAAAGTTGATGGTTACAAAGTTGTCGTGAAATTCTTTATCACTGTAGTGAAATTTGAGCTCCTTATCATGTGACAACTATAATAGAAGGTATGCAGAAATCTTTCAAAATCAGTACATGGTAGTACAATGAAATAAATCACAAATCGGCTCAAGTCCGTTTGGCAGGATACATGTGACATGGATGGATTTACATGCAGGTGAATGGGGTACTACATCCCAAACACTAGATTTCACCCCCTAACTAAATTGTTCGCCCCTCTAATGAACATTTTAATTACCACTCCCCAATTTTTAGTAAAACATATCAGCAGTATGGTTGAGTTTTCAGGGCAAAATTTCTACTTTCTGCACAACCTTTGATGGCTACACTTCTAGACCACCATAAATTATAGACCCTTACATTGTCTTACATCACTTCCTTACCAGCACCCCCCCCAAAAAAAATTGCTAGCACCACCCCTGTAAAGAATATAAAAATTTGTCCTTAGAGATGTCAAACTTAAATGTATTTTCTTAATAGGTAGCATGGTCTATGTAAGTCTGAAATTAATAGGAGAAAGTAAGCATAGACGAACTCATTATTTTGGGGGGGCTCCCCAACAGCCCCCCATCTGGTTCAACTGCTCTTTAAATTACATGTTTCACTTGTAAATAAATCTACTTTATTCATATTTTTAGGTGTTTTGAAACATTTTCAGAGAGGTTAGTCAACATTAATGATCATCTCATATCTCAAGTTATTATGCTGCAACTAGGATTTTTAGTTAATGAAAAAATGTTCTAAACAGATATTATTATGGTGCAGAATCTTGAAGCTGTCTATTCTTTAGTGCATTAAAGCAATTATTGTTTGTAATTTTATGCAAATTCAGATGCAAACATAACTATTAGCTTGTGATCATTTGTTCAAATTATTTCTCATTTCAGGACTTAAGTCAGTTAAGTGGACCAAAACCAATTAAAACTCACTGACAATTGTAAGCATGGCTTTACTTGGTGAGTGCTCATTGCATATCGCTCAAAATTATGAAGTGCAAAATTAAGTTACTCAAAATGCTTAAATTCAACCTTTGTGCACTTGACCACCATTTTGCTCAAGATAACCTTGATTTGAAAATTTTTCTTTGGTGTGGTTTCTTTTAAAATTTGTAGTAGCCACAATCTGCAGGGAAGCATATGGGAACATGATGTTTGCCTTAAAATGTTACCTTAGAGAGCATTTCATTGCATATCAGCATTTCAATCAAGCTTGAGTTGCCAAGCATATCTGCCATGCTTCTAAACCATTTGATATTATCTATGAAATAATATTTACCATCCACACCACCTTGAACATGAGAATGTAGAAATCTTTTCTATTTATTTCATCAACTGTAGCACCAATTTTCAAATAAAGAAGCCCTAGTACATGTGGTCTGTGGCAAACCATGAGGTTAAAAAATGACTATACCTTTTCTTTTGTTATAGGATCTGTATTGTATGAGTTATTAGCAGAAAATACACATCGAAAAACTTCGCTCTTTTCACATGCAACCATCAACTGATAAAGAATATTCTAATACATACCATGGTGTACATTTCGCGAACTAAAGTACGGAGATCGCTCGCGTGCGGTTGTACTATTAACGTTGCGACGTATAAATGTACCTTCGTTTGAATGTTAGTGTAATAAATCACCAAAATGCGTTTTCCTCGATGAAAATGCGATTGTAACAATGTTTTGAAAATAACAAATCAGCTTATTTACCAACATTCTGTTTATAATCATGTAGCATTAATTGCAAATTTATTGGTGTGAAATAGAACGTACTTTCATAGAAGTGCGCATTTTGTGTAATTCTGTAGAATTCCGATCTTACCTTCCGAAGAATCCGAACTTTTTGATTTTCTTTCCTAGACTCGGATAATTCTCTTTGTTGAAACGCGTAGGTGGCTGTAGGTATTGTTTGAACGCGAAAATTTCCCGCCGCTCTTTGATTGGGTGATTTCGTTGATACAATCGTAGATGTAAATATGAGGGCTCTGGTAAATATACCTGTGATTGGTCGATATCAGCTTAAGCCAAAAACATTTGCAACATATCATCCCCCTCCCTTCCCCCCTTACAAAGCAAGAGTCTTGGTGCTCATGCCAGCGGAAGTAGTCGTTTCAATACGTGATTTAACATTTTTTCCTTAATCTTGTGTTTTTGTCATCGTTTATGGAGTTGTTTGGTTGTATGAATTATGAAAAATTATATGTGTGTATGAAATTTATGAAATGAAAGAGAAAAGAAATTGTCAGAATGTGCGCGCGAGCGATGCAATTTTCAAACGTCGCATGCTTCATGATTCCGTAAACACATCGTCATTAATGTCTGTAAAACGTACAGTGGTAAGTAAAGTTTTTTAATGATTTATAATATAGATTTTGAACAAAATTATCTGGCGAGTGCATTTTATTTTATATTTGGTCATAAATGAAACAGTAATTTTGAACATTTTATGAATTATGCTGTAGAATGTTGTCATTGTAATTGAGGTTTAGTTGAGAAGGACCTAAAAGACAACACATCTTTGAATATAATGGTAGCAAAATATTTAAACAAAAGCAACAACCTCAGTTTGGTTTTAATCAAATTAATGCCCAATACAATTATATTTTTCAAAACTTTGAAATACTTTGAGACTTATTATAAAGTTACCAGTCACACAACAACTCTTACTAATCTTGCATTCTCAAATATCTGTTGGAACATGGCATTTTTTGCTTCTTCACAAAACACTGTATGTGTTGGTTTTATAAATTGTTATATGTATGTATGTATGATCTCAAAAGCACCAGATTAATAATGGATTTAAAATAAGCAACAAAATTTTTTATTATAAAAATGTTTCAACTTTCCAGTCTACTGAAGTTGACTTGATGTAAGTTGATGTTTATAATAAAAAAGTTGTCGTTTATTTTAAATGCCTAATTGTTATATACGAATTGGCAATAAAAGTAAAATAATCACTCATATATTGATATATACTATTATTCCCATTTTAACTTAGGAAGAATTAGTATAAGAATTGTTTCCCTATCGATGATGGAAGTTTTCTTTTAACGAAAAATTGTTCTTTATTCCATATTTGTAGAGTGATTTACTGTAATCCAAGAAAACAAAAGTATTTTAAAATAACTTTCTCCATTACAGCTTTACCATGTCTCCTGCCATTAATGAGATAACCACTATAAAATATGGACAGATTTACTGAGGAGGGGTACAGGGTGGGACTTGCAAACTTTAGATTTAACTCCCAAAAATAAATTGCACACCCCGGTTGGAAACATTTTAACTCCCTCAATTTATAGCGAAACAAATCAGTAGTACAGTTGAACTGTGAGTTTTTCTGGGCAATGTTTCAACTTTCTTTAATATCTTTGGTGGCTGTACTACCTGACCTCCCTTAAAATCTACATTTTTGTTGTCGTCACTTCTTTACCAATTGACTATTAAATTAGCACTTTTAATTTCCAGTATTTTCTTGCGTGTAGCATTTACTGTGAAACAAATTTCTCTACCGAAGTCTTATGCTGTATATTGTGGAATAATTCTTGTGAAACCAAAAATTCTTTTATCAAATTGACTAATTTCCGTCAATTATTGAAAGAAACTAGGTAAATTAGCGTGAGTTTATACACATGATATTTAATCATATAGTATTTCTAGTCATTCAGAGATCATATGACATTCTTCCTGAGATCAATACTTTCATTTTCTAGTCATCGTATTCATTGAAGAAGACGCCTTACGAAAATTTCGATAAAATTGTGCAAAGCATTTTCATCGAAAGGTAAATATCATGTATTAAGTATTTGTTGCTCGAATTTCAGTGACATAAGTAAAGTACATGGGAACGAACTCCTGAATTTGAATTCCAGTTTGTCACAGATTGTTAAGAATATTTCCGTGAACATTCGCTATCTATATGTTGCTAAAAGTTTGAAAAATTGTATGAATGATTGTAATCAATGCGAAATTACATGCGATCCCAAAGACTAGTCAATGTAAATCACCGTTAGTTACTGCTTGTGATTAAGAGGTTAACTAAAAGCAGCTTTCACAAGATCGAAATATCTTCGAGTCTTCGACAGAAGATAAAAATCATTTAATAAACATTCGCTCCTAGAAATGTTGGGACATAACACTTCCCAAATTTGAATTTATTGTTACATGTTTCGTTGAACTAATTACTACAATGTTTGATGGATTTTTGATATTCGTTTTTTAAGTAACAATAGTTGATATATGTAATTCTACAGTTGTTTTGATGTGAAACGAACAAACGCGCGCTATGCATGATGGTTGTTGGCAAATTCTGTTTTCAAAAATCGAAAGAGTTTGTGAAAATTTATCTGTTGAAATTCAATTTTATTCTTAAGGTGTCGACAGCAGTAGACTGCATTTTATTTTATCGCTTAGAGTCATCAGTCAACATATTTATTTGAGAAATGACAAAAGGCTACTCTCTTTAACGCCTTTCACTTTTATTATGCACCACGTCTTCGTCCGCAAAGAATGATGGGGTTTTGTTACGACATAATGACGCATTTGAACATGTGATATTGTATAGTTCGCAATCTCTTACTTCGTCATAATCATTCTCGTTGAACAGAAATTATGCTCGTTATTGACTTTAATGCATGGCTATAAGCACGGTACTTATTACGTAGTTGCAACTCTAGATGATTTGTAGTCGATGTTTTTTGAAATTAAATGATATTTTAAAGTCAAAATTGACCAATTCATCTAGTTTGACGTTTTTTTTCTTTATACAGTGAATCATGAGCGCCGACGACGACGTTGATAACGTTGATCAACAAGAATTAGACAGTGTTTTATGTACTGAAGAAGGTAACATGTTTGAAATATTAAAGAATTCTTATTGAATTATCAACCTAAAGGTTAGAGTCCAACAGATCGTTTCAAAGATAACCATAAGCGTTCGATTTCTTTGATATTTATTAAAACAAAGCAAGTGACGTTTGTCGTTTCGTCTCAACTCAACACATCTTCAAATGAGATGTAATTACTTAGATAGTTAAGGTGTGAGGTTTGTGTGGATGTGTACTTACAGTGTAAAGTTGATATTGTGTATTGTAAGGAAATACATAAAGAGAGCTGAGGGGGACGTTCATTCTCCCCCTCTAACTATTCCAAAGACCAATTTAAGAGTTTTTAAGACCCGAAGAGAAATGAGGGATTTAAAGATAGTTGCTTCCTGCGAAAGGAAGAATACAGCAAAGTAAAAGTAATAAACAGGAACTTTTGAGCATCATAGTAAAGCCTAGGCAACACTATCGTCCATATCGACGAAAATTAGAATGAAAACTGCCGCAACGAAAATCTTGAACGAAAACTCAACAAAAATTTCGTTCTCGTGCATATTAGAAGAGTTGAACTTTTGACCTTTTTTGTTAACGAAAACGCTTGCAATTGGCTAATAATCTAAAACTTAATACACAAAGATGGCGGGGTGGCATGAGTTTTAATAAATCCGATGCGAGAAAAAACAATTTGTCGTCATTCGCAAGTATTTATGAGTCTGTTTTCTTTTTTCGGTTCTCGTAACTCTTTAATCAAATTCTTAAATAATCGAAGTCGATCACGTCGTTTATTAATTGGGGGAATCTAGTATCGGCGTTTGATTGTCTTGCTAAATGGTTGCTTTCAACTTCAGAAGGAGTACCTTCTTGCCAGAGGAAGACACTTTTTCTTTTGTGCTTG